ACGCAGCTCGCAGGATTAAACAATGCAACTTTTGCCGCGCGACGACGACGACGACGACGACAACGAGAGAGAATTGATGGTTCCCGCCGGTATCACCGGGTAGACACGCAATTTGCATTTTTGTTCCCCGACCCCACGGCTCCTTCATCTTCGTATCCAAATATCATGGCGCTCCGAGAGGCGTTTTCGATGCAATTCGCGCGAAAGAATACCGGCGCGCGGCCGAAGACACAGCACGGAAAATTGGAAAGCGGGGAGGTAGTTGACTACCGTTCCTCATTCTCCCGATATCATCCCTCTCCGTTTCTTCGGGATATTACTTTTCGCTCTTACTCCGCGGCGCCGGCATTGAAGTCGTCGCTGGGAAACCAACGGCCCTGTCGTGCCGGGAGGATGGCTTTTTCCATCCCTCCCGTGGCCGAAGTTATTTTTTCAGCGACGCGTGTCATATCGGAAATGTTCGTTGGGTCGTAATTAAAACTTAGAAAACAACGACGATAAATATTACTTACGGAAGTTGTAACGTCATTATAGCAACGTATGTCATCCCAGACGCTGAACTCGTTAGAGATTCATGCGCGTCCACAACGCGAGAACGTCCAGAAAGAATTTATTTTGCACAAGCTTGGACAATTCTGCGATCGTCGGCGGAAACGTATCTTTCGCAATATACAATTTTAGATGGAAAGTTATAATTTTATCTTTATATTCGTCATACTGCTAAAAAATTCAATTTCCACGACGGAAATCGAAATTCGCCATCGGACATGCTTCATTCATTTATTATATCCATTCGGAAGTGAATAGAATTACAGCGGCGGATGAGATTGCAGCGGATGAGAACGCACACGGCAATGACTCGCCGATTTTCCAGCGCTTCTTTATTTGTCTCCTGCCGGGATTATGGGGAAGGTTATGTTTTCCATTTTGTTTGATTCCCGCTCTGTTCCGCCGTGCATAACAAACTAAGTTTGACCGTATTATCGCATTATCCAATGAAAATTCGATTATCGAAGAAAAGCGCGGAACGAGAGTGTTCCATTCGACTATGTCGAATAAAATACATTCGGCGAGAGGCGTGCTCGTGCGATTGCGTTATAATTTTATTTGGCTGTCAAGGAACGTACGAATGCACCGTGCAGTTCAACTAGAAAAAATAATCACGAGAGAATTTTTCTTTTTTGTTATCGTCACGTGCGCTCCCGCGACGTGTAAACTGTTATTTTTTTTATCGATTTCGCATATTTGAAATATCACCCGTTCGTTAGGTGTTGCAGTCGTTTTTTTTTAATTTCTTTTTTTGCATCGAAAAGATGCAGGCGCATTTGATTTATTTCTTCACGCTACACAGCCACCGGAATTTTCACGCTCTGAGATAAACTAGTAACGCTATACGAATGCGTATCGATCCGCCTCCCGCTACAATGCATAAAAAGGTACGTCGTTGCAGTCTGTCTCATGCATCATATGCGTCCCTGCAGCTTTAGATGTCGATACGTTTTCATGTCTCGTTTCGAATCCTTCTATTCATTCGAGAACCTGATGGAAATGTGGAGGCAAGTCGCATCGCCATCTCGTTTTCTGAATTTTCATTTGATATAGGATGTTTGTTAAAATATTAGCGTCCGCAATGAGATATCGTTCGAAATATGGTGAATTTTTAGGATTCTGTTTGTGTGGCAAAATAATCGCGGAATTATTTGATGTTGGGTATTAACGGTTTTCGTTAACGAATTGATCCTCAGAAATGTGTTTTTAAAATTCTATTTCTTCTTTGTGGATTTTGGCATAACTTTAATTTAAAATTTAATTCCCGACGTATTTTAAAACTTGAACCATTTTTCGGAAACTGTCCTATTAAGAACGCAGAACGCGCGTTATTAACATATCATCAATGTTGTTACGCTCTGGTGACTCCGTGAATTTCAAATTATTACGTTGCTCTGTGAATTCTACGGCAAGAACGGGCATGTTTGGCAAGCAGTGGCCTGTAATAAAAGTAAACCTTAGAGAATGCTCAACAACAACAAAGCCGATAAGAAATGAAAAATACACTAAGTGGCGTGATAGAGATTTGAGAATCCACGCGTTCACTAAATGCATCGCCTGATTAAGTCCTTGTTGTAAACACCTTCGACTGATTGTTAGAATTTCCTGTTATGTGTCCCGAGATAGGTTCTTGGGATCTGCCAGTGTTTTGTCAGGTGTATCGTCCAAACTCTGTTATAAAATTAGAAACCTATCCGAAAAACTCGGGACAAACATACCAAGCGTACGATAAGGAGCTTATTGTCGTTCCTTCAATGAATTTGAAATCAATCCTCTTTCGGAAAGATAACTTCGATCGGATATCGTCATCTTTTTGCTTTTCAATATTGTCTCGAAATTATAAGATACATTATAGGATTAATGACAAAAAGTTATTGCTTCCCACATTTTGACAAATACTTCCTATAATACTGGTAACATTCACGGAATATTAGGAGGAGATGGGAGATATCGCTATTCACCTTATTGATTACACGACCGGCGAGGTAATCACATTATTATGTAATAAGTGAACTACGAAACATTTCTAGTAACATGGATAGATGGATGTAATGTTGGCTGATAAGCCTTCCGTGTTCGATTTCATAGCTTCCCGATGACTCGGTTTATCGAATGAGGAAAAGGCTCCCAGGCGAGAGTGGGCAATCAGCTTATTTGAAGCTTACCGCTTGGAATTCCTCTTTGTTCCGATATCACGGTCTGAGAAGAAGACCCAAGGGGTCTTAATGTTCTTCTCTCTCTTTCCTTTTTTCATCCTCTCGTACTCCGACTTAAATGAAGTATAGATTTCCCGCTATTGTAAAAATCAAATTTTCTGCTCGCGATGTTACACGGGAGCGAAATATCTGAAAATAAAATTCAGTCGCATTATCGCTCGCGATGTCGGAATTCCTTTTGATCTCTGCGAATTGCAGCGCTGCAATGCGTCGGAAGATGTCATTAAGTGTAAAAAAGTAGATGGCGGGAAGAGGAACGATATTCGGTCTGCGTCTCTAATAGGATGTTAATTGTAGCTCTCAAACGCGTAATGTTCTTGCTTTAAAGTACCTTTGTGATTTCCCAGCGCTCGGTGCACTGCAGTATCACGTAATTCTTTTCCATAATGAAATTAAGTGCCTGTCTTCGAGGTAGGAACGTCGATCATAAGACAGTTCTATTTCCTTCCACTTTTTCCCTCTAGACACGCAAATTGCCTTCCTCGTCGACTCTTCGTAAATTCCTCGCAGTATTTATGGAGCGGCTCTTCATAGGTAAAAGTTACGTCGGACACACGGAGGAGGACGGTCGACTTGCCGGAGTAATGAAATTTCCTGCATTATAAGCACCCGCGCGATATATACATGTATATATAAATATCAAAGAACGCAGAAACGTTATCCGCGCGCTCCCGTGAGAGTCGATCTTAGTACGTCGCGCGTAGTACGAACGTCTCCGCGCAGTTAAATATCTCCATTCGACGCGACACAGTTCGGCATTGTTCGATAAACAGGCTCGGAAGCGTTAAGAAACTTGGAGAATTACGCGCCTCATTTACCGTGATCATCCTTAAAAGTTACGCGTCTGGTATCGACCGACTCATTTGCGCGCTCGCACTTATCATGAATGCGGAGCGCGCGTCTCATGAAGCGCATAATGCGAGGTGCTCGCGAGTATCTTTAGAAATCGGCTAAATGACGTGACGAGGAAAGTGCATTTTTGCCCCCTATAATATTCATCACTACGACGATGTTGCTTTATGGGCGAGCACAACCGTGAATAACGTACGTTAGCCCGTCTCACGGAGAGCGTTCGGCGTTCTGGACGTCAGGACGCCCGGAGTGGCGCACTTTCGCACCGCCTGGTGGTGGATACGCGAGTGAAATCCTCCGACAAATTACGGGGGCACTCACGTAGCCCGTTGTGTCTCCCTTTCGTCGCGCACGGTTACTCGTCGGATTCGCGGGGAAAAAGTCACCTGATATAAATTCACGTAACACCCTCGGAAATTACGGGTGGATATCAAGCCGAGGAAGCGTTGCCAGGTCATCCTCTCCGCGGGCCACTTTGTCTCGTTAACGTAGCCGAGGATGAACTGCTAAGCGCAACACAATTCCGCGGCGGGTCTCGCGAGGGTTCCCCGTCGATCCTCGGCCGATCGGCCCGCATTTTCATCGGCCGCGATATGAGACAGCCGTGCTGGGACTTGTTAGGTCGAAAAAAAGGTTTCCCTCCGACTCCCTAGCGCGTCGCTAGCGGCCAATCCGACGGGCTCTGACGAGGACGCGCGAAAATACGCGCGGCAGACACCGGATTATCCGATCGGCCTGATTACGCGATGTCCCTTCGGATGCGGATGCTTCGTATGTTCGACTTCAGCCGACCGTTATACCCGTCGAATACGCGATGAATCTCCGTGAAATAAAATATGATTCGCCGCCATTCGCAGAGGGCGAATTGAATGTTCGCGCAACGTCTCCATTATATAGTGTTGTCTCTGCTGCTGTCTGCGATGGATAATTTTGGAGCGATTTTTATTTAGGACGTCTCGAATCGAAAAATCGACACGAAGCAACTCGATGTTTCTTGAAATTCGTTTGCAACAAACAGAAATCCGAAACTGAAGTCAAACATGTTTCGTACCGCGTGGGGATCACCGGTGACTTTCCGTTCAGGCCATTTGATATTTTCGCATTTTAATTCCGAACGAAACAATCTCGTGTGTGTGAGTGAGACGCTTGTTATTTAACAAATATATATTAACACGAAAATATGGGTGACCGGTGACACGCATGACGTGGATGACAAGTTACATAAAGTTGCTCCAGCACGGAACGTGTCAAGAAAGTTATCGAAACGAGCTGTTTTTTACTGTACACGCTTCGTTCGTGACATTCTGCATAATTTCGCCGCTATTTTTGCGAGTTAAACCAGTTAAATCGTGATTAAAGGACCTATTGTCGCTTTTGTTACAGCTGAACGGTTGAACGAGTACATCCGCCACTACGAAACCCTGTCGTATCCCGTCGAGGACGTCCATCGAAGTCACCTAAGGGCGAAAAGGTCGATCAGTCGCGACAGTGCCGTGACTGTGAAGTTCCAGGCGCACAACAAGAACTTCCACATCCGATTAAAACGAGACCTCACCACTTTTAGCAACAACCTAATCGTAGAGGGACCTACGGGGGAGAGGCAGGACGGCGACATCTCCCACCTTTACCAGGGCAACCTAATCGGTACGTTCACACGATAACAGATATTCGCGGAGATATTCCGTGAGTGCGTTTCGCACAGTGTCCTCAATCAGTCGTAGCCCTTCCGAGTTTCATTAGCAACATTCGAACATGTGCTCTTTTTCCAAGTGGATTCATATAACGAAAGAATAGGAATATTCATAACTTGGAGATATTTCGAATTCAAATTGAAAACTGATATTAATATATTTCATATTATTTAATATTAATATTCAATATTTGCGACACGGACAGTATCGCGGAATAGCAAAATTCCATTCTGTTGTTTAATTACGAAATTTTACGTTATACATTGAACATATGTTTAACACACGCATATGTGAGTATAATGGATCCGGCTGCGCGGGCCGAGAGAGAAGTGATTATAAATATTACAACACTAATTATAAAAGGGTGTGTTTCAACAGAGCGTGTGTTTGATTCAATATACTTTTAATGAGACTGAATTAAAGTTGACCGCTCACGCGGTCCTCCAGCGCGACGTTGTTTCGAGCTCGATAATTCGACGCTATTTTCATTCGGTGCACCGACGCGATGTATACCGGTCTCGTCGAGCGCGCATCATTCCGCGATTAATTCCGTTTGTTCGCGCGATTCTTCGCTCGGTAACTCGCGTTCGCAACGTTTCCCAACGCGAGTTTCCCCGGCCGCCTCCGTAATATTTGTCGTTCAACGAAACCGTGCGGCTGCTCAAAGATACCCGATACGTACACACCGCTATAAACCCAGAGCGCTAGAGGTCTACGACACTGATATTATATCTCGCATCGATGTGTGTGTGTGTGCACTCCTCCAAATATAGAGCCGTGGTATTATGACATCGAGCCGGCAATCTTGTCGATGGCCCATATATTCGCACGAACGGCACTCGGCAATGTAAAGTTACGCGGAATCGATCGGCAGCGATCGTTCGAACTTCTCCGCTCGTATGTGAGGTACACGTAACCGCGGACGTAAAATCCAATGAGTTTCCGTCTATGTTTGTACGCGCAGTTAGTTGTATCCACCTCCGGATACGTTCATCGCGAGAGAAATAACGGCGTTTCATTGTTCTCGCAAAGTCGAGTAACGCGTAATGAGTGCACGCGCACCGAAAAAAAAATGCGTGTTTACGGCACTGGGTGAAAAGTTCAAAGCTGAAAATTGCAGGGCGCTGATTTTCCAATTCGCACGAACCGCTCTGTCCCCGACACCAGGCTGTTCGCTTGAATTTCATAGGTGGTGCAGCAACACCTGTGCGGATGATGACGTTAATGTTATAGTTTTCGACCAACTCCAACTTTGAACTTACCGACGTGTCAGACAATATTGTTTCCAGTTAAAAGCCAAATGAAATGTGCTTCAACAGGGATCTTCATTCGGCGCTCGGCTACCAAAATATTTGCTATTCAAAAGTTGTAACGGAGGACCCGGGGTATAATCGAATCTTCCGTCTGAGGCAAAACCGTCTCCAAATTCATCGCGCGATACTCCCCTAAAGTTTAACGCTAACCTCGTAAAACAGCCTGCATATTCAAAGGACTTTCGTCAAAATAAGTTAAATTCAGCACAAGTGGGGAGAGAGAAAAAAGAGAAGCGTACTCTCCCTTTTTTTTTTTCTTTCTCTTTCGATTGCGTATACAAAGAACTGTATTTAAATTTATAACCGTTGGCGCTCTCTCTCACCCCCGACGTTCGCTTCGCGTCGTCGGCGCACATTCTGGTTGCATTCTGCAGCTTGGCCTCCACGAGGCGGTACCGTTTCTTCGTATAGTACCGCTTCCGCGACGTTCCCCGATAGCCAGGTGTGGCACGCAAAAGTGCGTGTCAGCGTAGATACCGGGTGGAACCTTTATTTCCAGTCTAATAATTTACGGGAGTCCGGCGCGCGAGGGGCGACAGTTTAAATTATGGATCAGGGCGACGAGGTGCCGGGGAACGGTTTATCTCTCACTCGCGCGACCTTTCGCGACCCGGTTACAGCCGCGCTCTCTTCACCGGATAACGCCGCGAGAAGACTCCGGCTATGCCTTAGTTTACGGATCAAAAGGAATTCCGAAAATCGTGGGCTTAGCTCGCCGTGCGAGCGTTTCGCCATTCTTACCGAAAAGTCAACGGAGTATGCCGCCCTTGTCGAGTCTGCGGGCGACTTTATAATACCGTGCGAGGGAATAGTTTCTACATCCAGATATATTTCTTGTTCCAAATTTTTTTTAGAAATCAGAGAGAATGCGTGAATTCCGCGCGTTTCCCACACAAACTTTCTATACCTTTCCATATAATTTTTTAACAATTTTTTTTTCCACTACGCTAATGGAGTTATATGCACATACGTATTGTGCGATAATAGTGTGACTGCTCAGACACAATGAAAAGAACAAGGAATTAAATATAGGGAACTAGGAATAAGATATTAGAAATAAACTATAATTTAAAGCGCCATAAAAAAAAAAGAAGAAGGGAGTAAAATATAAAAAAATTTTAAAACGAGATCAGCCACTTTTATTATTTCCTAACGAATCCTGTTGTCATCATTAACGCGTTATTTTCTTGATAATTAATCAGTTGATTCAAACTAACTTTCATTTGTGTATTGATCACTAGGCCTTTTGAAGGTTAACTTTTAGTTAACCACTAAACTTTATAAACACATAAGTTGTAAGAAATAAAATTTCGACAGTGTTCCTAATCCTAATTTTCTATTCCTTTATTGTGGATTGAAGCATGGTTGTCCATACGTCGAAATTGAATTCCTTGTTCCTCATTCCTTTTATTGTACTTGAGCAATTTTTGTTTATAGTACTTGTAAAATGTTCGATAATTTAAAGAATAATGTCGATACCATAGGTCGCGAAATTGTAAAGAAAGAGCGACGCTGGAAACTGGCTGGATGTTTTTAGTTTTGAAAGCGAAGACTCCCTTTGTTCTCGCGTCAAAAGGAATTTTGAATTGTGATAAGCTTAACAGTGCGGATGACTTCGCTTTCCTGCGATCTATTATCTAGAGAGAGAAAAAGGTTATGCGCGGAACGCTCGCTGAATATTCTCTCTTATTGTCGTTTACCCGCTATCTGCAATACGCTCAGGTTTCATCCCGCGCTTTTAATGATTCAATACCTTCCTTTCACGTCCGGTGCATTGGTCGAAAACGTGTCGCAAAATATTTTCCATGCATAACACACGACAGAGAAACGATTTCAGCGTTACCGTTACGGCCAAATGTGTATTTCCGTCGACAAACGCGGTTTCTTTACACAGGGAGATATAAAATATTCGTTGTGCGTGTACACGTTTCATCCTCAAATCGAATGATATAGCTGCAGAATCTGGATTCTCGAATCTCGCGAGACTCGACTCGAATGGGGGAGACGTGTTTCGCTCATTCATTCATTCGTCTTGTTCATTATGTCGTCGCGTTTGATGCATTAAATAAATTTCGCGACATCACGCGCTTCTCTTATTGTAGCAGACAAACGTTCTCGACGGTATCAAGAACCATAGTTTTCAACTATCGTATACCGGGGGACAAATTGAAAAGAATAGTGGTTGCCTCGAAAGAACAGGTATATCAAGTTATACGATATAAATCCTCGGACATGAAGGGATTTTGCCGAAAAGTTGGTGTATTGAGTTTTTGAGAACTATGGTTCACTCAGGTGCAGACACACGCACGCACACGTAATATGCTTTCAATTTTCTCTAATTTTCCATTTCCGTGAAAAGATAGAAAATACGTGCATTATAACTTCGCTCGCTACGTGCGTCTCGGTTAGGGGAGCGAATCGGACAGTGAGGCGAGAGCACATTGCTGCGTAAGCCAGCAATTTCTAGCGCAAAAAGTTCCGTCGAGTGACGAAGTTTCCTCCACCGTCGATACCTTTGCGAACGGAGCGAGTTCGGAGCCGTTCGCACGAACACGGTTTCGTACTCGCGTGTACGCATCTCCACCTAAGTATTTATGTTACTTCCATGACATTTCTCATTTCTAAGAGTAGAGGAGAAGCGCGAGGAAACGAATGAAAATTAAAGAAGCGGGTCCCTGTAATTTCGGTATCCGTAGCGTTGCTCTTCCAACGACGGCTAAAGTAATGATCATTTACATAGTTATTCCGCGCAACTTACGTATATACGAGACTTTGCAGGTTGCTTTAAATCAGCACATCGTAACGCTTATTTGTCCCGAGACATTTCTAAATTATTCATTATACGTAGAGAGAAAAAATGCTTTTCTTCTTCTAACTAGAAACAGTAATTGAAAATTAAGAATTCATAATCGAGTTCATACTTTATCCGATCACTTAGGAATTACGGCGATAATTTTTCCAAGGAATTTCACCGAGATTCTCGACACGCCTCTGATCAGGAATATATTTTCTACTTTCAGACGAGCCTGGTAGTCACGTGTTCGGAAGTGTCAGTGATGGAGTCTTCCACGGGAAGATAATATCGCCGAAAAGCGGTGCATGGTACGTGGAAAGAGCGCATTACTACTTTCCGCCGCACGAGGTAAACGAGACGCTGCATTCTGTGATCTATCACGAGAATGACGTCGGTGATCCGTACGCGGACGTTCGACAAGGTAAGGTGCAAAAGAAAAAGAACGAGATTCTTTCAGCTTTACTGATATTAGTTTTCAAAAGACACGCACGCACGCACATACATGACATTGTTTGCGAGTCCGCGAACATAACATGTACGGCGGAGAATGACATTTAATCCAATTATTACGAAGTTCCGATACATTGGAACATCCGATATCATCGACGTTATTCTTTCATTTACGTGGCATATTTCGTATATTTCGTACACGCTCAATAATATACTCTTGTTATGAAAAGTATATTTTGCTTTGACGGGACTAGGTGAAAACGGAGACTCATTAAATGTACACAACGGAAAGAGGAATAAATTGTATACTTTGTTCCTCAAACTTTGCTTTTAATTTGCGCGAAAAAAGCTCGGTGTAAATGTACTTTCGTTAATTTTATGCCTTGCAATATTTTTCATATTTCTATCTGTATTCATGAACTCACGAATGGCTACGTATCGGAATTAGAGCCGGCCAGTTTGTCCGACATTTAACCGTAACAAAGCAGCAGCTGTGCAACGACTTGGAACGTAATAGCGAATCCCATTATGCAAAAGAAGAAATGCCGTGTAATGTGCGTTCGCGGAAAATGAATAAATTCAGATCGGTAAAGGCAACGATTTATTTAACTACCGGGTTGCGCTGATAATTGTAACGTCCGTCGTGCATGGGAGCTTTGCTAATTATAAGGCGGCCGGGAACGATCGGAACGATCGTCTGGATACGTTGTTCGATGACGGCGACCTCGAAGTTGGCGCCTCACGACATCGCGGCCTCCACTTTTTGCCGCGCACCCCTTTGTCACGCGATGCGCCACATCTCTCGTTCTCCTCTCGAATTCTACCACGATCCTTCAGCAATCATCCTCAAAAACGCGTCCGTCTGTTCGTCCGTCTATCGTGCACCAGTTTCGAGCGATTCACCTTCGCGATACTAAGTCGGTTAGAAGCACGCACCAAGTGGGGAAGATTTCGCGGAGGGGGTTGTTGCTGCGGTGGCACGTTGATTAGCTTCAATTTCCTCATTGCATATGCATCGTTATTTGCATTAATATCCACACTGATCCGAGACACGCAACTTATTTTATCAGTTTCAGGGCTCAGGCAATGATCATCGGGAGGTTTCGGAGCCGATTTATTCTTGAAAATTAGATCGAGAGCAATTCCACTATTTCCATGCATTTTCGGTTTAAATTTCCGAATCAAAGTTTCGATGAAAGTAAACTTCCCTCTCGTCGAATTCTTTTATCCATTCACGCTGTCCACCGCCCCCCCTTCCGCGAAGTTTAATTCGTCGTAATTCCTTAACTGTTTATAATCGGGCGAAATTTTCCCCAAGGCGGAATTAATTCCAAACTTGTCGGAGGATTAGCCACTGGAACGAAAGTGCTCGACTCCTGATACTGTCCCGTGTCATCAAGGAGCATAGCGACCGGCGCAGGGAGATTGCGTCGTTTAAGCGGAGGATATGGATATCGGAAAGTCCGCGCTAGTACGAATTCTACGCACCATTTACGGTATCGTTAGGGAAGAAAGTAGTCCATTCGCGTAGGGGCAGCGACGGTCTCGTCCTGAATCTGTGCCCGGGTCAGCGCGGCGACCGTACGAACACGCGGATTCACCGCGTCACCGTGTTTACGGCGGTAACATAAACGGCCAACGTTGAAATAAACAGGCAAGCGCATCGCGTGTAATATTTATCGCGTCCGTCCACCCGTCCGTCTCTTCCGCGCATACTGCGTGGACCAAATCGCGTCATCTCGCCGTGCTTGCTCTCTGGAAATACGTTCGCCGACGTTATGAGTTTGTTACGTTTGTTGGAGCACTGTACGGGGCACGATGATGCGAGGAAGAACAGAACGGAATGGAGTGGAGTGTACTTGATGTGTGAACAGTTATATATAATAAAATAATACAATTATAAGAAATCAAATAAATGTCTTATTTAATTTGTAAAAAATAGAGAGGCAAAAACGTGTCCAAGGTATATCATCTTTCCCTACTTGCGCGAGTCGCTACTGATTCTAAGGATAACGAAAGATAACACGCTAAGAAGAGCGATCAGCGTTCGACGCGTTCTTTCGCGTCGACGTTTCTTTCCTTTTCACCTCGTGAAATGGTAATCCCTGTTAACGCTGGACAGGTTTAATAGGCAGAGCAGTAGCACGGACGACGGGCATTGCCGTCACGCTTGGAACGCCGAGCCATTAAGGCTCGCGTAGCTCGCGATTAACCCACCAATAAAGCTGACGATGGCGGCCTCGATTATCTCGGTGATATCAGCAGCGGAGTTATTGATTTGTACTTATGCGAAACTGCTTCTTCGGAAGAAGAAACGAGAGAGTATCTATTACGGCGAGATACGACGTTCATCCTCGGTTCGTTAGCGTCATCGTGCACCGCTTACGGACTGAAAGTATATGAGACGATACTTCTCCCCTGATGAAACGTCCTATTTCGGGGAATTATTGCAAAAAAGAACTGACGACTTCGTGTGCAATATCACGGCAATTATCGCGACAATGAGAGCTCCGATATCGTCTGTCCACGATCGAGGTTTCGCAGAATTATCGGATGATGAAGAGATCGGCATGAAGAAGAGCGAAGACGCCGAGAAAAAGGCGACGTGTAGCGAAGCACGTCGTTTTTCTTCGGCTTTAAAAGTACGGCAGGACGTAACAATCACAAGAAGCTTCTGCGAACGCGAGTACCTCTCCCGAGTATCGAATATAAAGACGTTTCCGTCTCGGAATTGCCGATCCGATAGCGGCGAGTTGCTCTCCCCGGGAACCGAGTTCTCGCGGGTTTAGTAGACGCGCTACCACGCGTAACGGCCGTCGTTGTGACCCGCGATACGACGCCCGGGGGACCGCGACAAGGTCGCCATTAGTCGCCACATTATGCCCCGTGTATTCGCTTTACGCAGATAGCTCGAGCGTATTGCGGAATTGCGCCGATGATTAAGCCGCGCGCTTCTGTCTCGGTGACAACGGCTCAGGATGCAGATTGCGCGGTACGTGACTTGGCTTCCGCGTCGTTATTATTCGATCTATACCTACCTAACCGCGTCTACTTGCCCACCTAACTCGCGAATCTTACGGTAGTGGAGCCCGGCCTACGAGAGAATTCGATGCGCAGCGTATTCCGGCCCCATCGATGATGTAACGCTCCCACGTGGCTCGTGAATGTTTCGAGTTCCACGACTAGATTCAGAATTAATGGCAATGAACTTCGCCATTAATTAGGAACCTTGCGGTATTCTCTCGGAATGGTTATGACTCACGCTCCCAGATTTTCGTGTAACGCGCGCCTCAGAAAGCAGAAGCGTCTATGGCACTCTGTTAGTCCGTCCAAATCTCTGTCTAGGGTCGTTTTGACCGTAATGGATAAACAGTACCGTAATTTGTATCAACACGCGCGCGTTGCAAATCAGTGTCTATGCCATTCTACCGTTCGTGCAAAATTATAACATTGCAAATTTAAAATATAATATCTTCTGACTCATTGAACGTTCGAGTCTATGATCTACGTATTTTTAAATTACATGCATTGAATGCTTGATTTGACTTCCAAGGTGACGCCGCGTTCTTCATGAATTTGTTTCCATTTATATATAATGAAATTTCGGTAAAATCTAGCATTTGCATGTGAATTTCTCTTAACTCTTTATAATATTCTATATTCATAGATATACACGTGTATAGACTCAAACGTATTTCTGAAATAAACGATTGTTCTTGAAATTACTGCTCAGTATTTATTTGTAACCTAATAATGTCATGCTTTGGCCGTAAAATTAATATCGAATCGACGGTAAATTTTGAAGGTGATTCCGGTGGATGTGGCATTACCGACGAAGTGATAGAGTGGATGGAGAAAATTCAGAATTCCGCCGAACCAGATATACCACTTAAGACTCCATCGGTGAATCAGAAGGAGCCGAAACCAAATGTCGCACCCTGGAATGGGGACCAGGAGAGTCCTGGTCATAAATATAGTAGAGAAGCCAATGAACCTAGTCATCGCAGGCCACGAAGAGCGACTAGGTCGAAGGAGAACAACACCTGTTCGCTCTTCATACAAACAGATCCTCTTATATGGAGGCATATTTCCGAACAGGTAAGCGAAACCCCTTTTAATACAAATATGAATACTATGAACCCAAATATGAACCCTTTTTAATACAAATATGAATAAACGTTGTCTGAATTGGTTCGAAATTGGAAAGTGCACGACTTCACAAGTAGAAACATTTCAAAACTGAAATATAATAGAAATTTACTTTTTAATTGATATTTCTGTGGCACTATATTCTCAAAATATCGGGATATAATATAACATGCGTTTCGATCTATAATGAATATATTTCTCTCTCATAGTTTCTATTTGTAAAATTTGTGTCAAAAAAACCTCCGATTACATGTAAAAAACGTCACATTATTTGCGGCGCTTTTGCGGCGTTATTTGAGGTTTTCTCACTTTTGCGGCGAATTTATTTCGAAAACTATGAATGTTTCTTTTTTTTGTTATTTCCATTGTCCGTCCATTTGTCGAGTGATAACGTGTAAAATTGTGATCGTATGAGAGAAAAGTGACGCGTGTAATCGTATAAAAGGATAAAAGGCAAGATAGCAGATTGTTATAACGATGGAATGACCCAATTCTAAACGGCAATTTGCAACTGGAGAATGCCAGTATCTCCTTGCACAATAGGGAAATACCTTGAATACCGACCGTTCTCTTCCTATGGTCACATTCATATGCGTTTTCGTCGGCGGCACGGTCAGTGCAATTCCCTTTTGCATTTTCTCAACAAGCCAGACACCACCCGCATTCCAGCATTCTTCGCAAAAAGAATATTCCCGTCCTCGTCCACCAGCGGCCTTTGATACCACCGTGGTGTGTACTGCATAGAGTGCATTCCACCGGGGGATATTTTAATGACAGATTTTTAGACGGATTTTTACGTTAAACCCCGCGAAAGTTTCCAGGGAATTTTGATTAGATGGGAAATATTTGACGTTAAACTCTAAGAATTCTCACACGTTCAACTTCAACAAGAGTGCAGGCGGATAACTGGATCTCGTAATTTTTGTGATTAACTTCGCGGACGCGCTTCCGCTTTCGACGGAAATTCAATTCGCAGCTTAATTAGCAGTGATATTTAATATCGAAGATTGAAAACTCGCGCGATGATAATCCCCGTCGAATATATGCGCGGAATATAATCCTGTGTCGGACCACACGGAGGGGCAAAAAAAGAGGGAAAAAGAGTAATATCCAAGCTTTGTCGCGCGCGCAAATAATGAGTTCGCGCTCGACTTCGCAGTTACATCACGACGCGGAGAAAACCAGGGAGGAGATATTGTCCTTGATCGCCCACCACGTTACCGCCGTAAACTACATCTACAGGGACACGAGATTCGACGGCAGAATAGAGCATAGAAACATCAAATTCGAGGTTCAACGAATAAAGGTAACGGTACCTCGACCGAAAATAGCGTCACTGTAATAACGGTCGTGTGAAAAGTGCCCGCCTCGCGATTGACCCACTCTGCTCTCTGTCTCTGTGATATTAGATCGACGACGATACGGCCTGCACGCAACAACAGACATACAGCGAGCCGAACCCGTTTTGCATGGAGAACATCGACGTCAGCAACTTCCTGAACCTGCACTCTCTCGGGAATCATGAGGACTTCTGCCTAGCTTATGTCTTCACCTACAGGTGAGCGAAAAGAAGATTGTCCTTTGTACACGGAGAAAATATTGTATTATAATCCAAAGTACCACAAAATTTTATAACGTAGGACCATACCGGAATTATGATGTAATCTTTAACGATGTAAATCATGTGTACACATCACTGAACATTACAACACGCATCATAATTTCAGCATTACGAAATTTTAGTAATTTTTACTGCGATATTTTCTCCGTGTACGCCCATAAACGCCATTTCGCGCCAACAGGGACTTCACCGGCGGGACCCTCGGGCTTGCTTGGGTCGCGTCCGCGTCCGGCGCGTCCGGTGGGATCTGCGAGAAGTACAAGACCTACACCGAGACTGTAGGCGGCATGTATCAATCCACCAAGCGGTCCTTGAACACCGGCATCATCACATTCGTGAATTACAACAGCCGAGTGCCACCCAAGGTGTCGCAGCTGACTCTGGCGCACGAAATCGGGCATAATTTCGGGTCACCGGTAAGTCGTTTGCGTCGTATCCGAGGAAACGTTCTCTTCTCGCCGCCCCGCACGACACACACGTGCACGGTTTGCTCGGGAATGACGGGGCAGAAGATGAAGATGACGATCTCACCTTCTTTCCAGCACGATTTTCCACCGGAATGCAGACCGGGCGGCTTGGACGGTAATTACATTATGTTCGCCTCAGCGACGAGCGGAAATCGACCGAACAACAGCAAATTTTCAAAGTGCAGCATTGGCAATATCAGCAACGTTCTAGATGCTATCGAGGATAACAAGAAGAGGAACTGTTTCACTGGTACTTTTACCTTTTTCAATTTCCCGTCGCATTGCGGGATGGAATAAATGAAGTAAATCAATACTGAAAATTCCGCTCCCGCAAAATGGATACTATCGGTGTCGCCTGACCGGTCTGATCGATATGTTGCATTGTCGATTTACAGGAGCGTTTTGCGGCAACAAGATCGTCGAGGCTGGCGAAGAGTGCGACTGCGGATACGACGACAACGAATGTACGGACAAGTGTTGTTATCCCAGACAGGTGTCCGAGTTGGATAAAATCAAGAACGAAACGGCGAAAGGCTGCAACAGGAAGTTCGGGACACAGTGCAGGTACGTACACGCACCTGCTTTGATCCCGACCGAGGGAATCTGACGTGAATCGTCGGCCGTGATGTCTCTCTCTCTCTCGTTAAATCACATCTCTCATGCGCGAGTAATGATGCTTTTTTTAGTCCTAGTCAAGGACCTTGCTGTTCGAGCGAAACGTGCCAGTTCGTGCCCCTCTCCCACAAGGTTCAATGCAAGGCTGAATCAGACTGCAGTTACAATTCCACCTGCAACGGCAGGTCCTCCGAATGTCCAGCGCCGCTACCGAGAGCCAATAAGACTAGATGTAACGAGGGCACTCAGGTAATCGCACTCTGTTATCCGCGACACCGTGGCGTGATTTAACGGCGTCGAGACGCTCGTTTCAACAACGCGTTATTTACAGCTGTGCATCAACGGAGAGTGTACCGGATCCATTTGCCTAGAGTGGAATCTGACAGAGTGCTTTTTAACGAGCAGCATCATACCGAACATCGACAAGCGAAAGCTCTGCGAATTAGCCTGTCAAAATGGCACCGATGCGTCAACGTGTCGCGGTACGAGCGAGTTTGCGCACATGGTGGGACTGCCCGAGGGCGGAATGAGCCTGAGACCTGGCTCGCCCTGCGATAATTTCCAGGTTTAAATGATGAAATGGTTGCCCTATGTGTGCGAAAATAAATGAGACATTTTCGGGTAAAGCGGAACGATCATTTGTATACATTTTTCAGGGTTACTGCGACGTTTTCCTGAAGTGCAGAGCCGTCGATACGGAAGGACCGCTCGCTAGGTTGAAGAATCTGTTGTTCAACAAGGAGACCTTATCAACGGTAGCGCAATGGGTGACTGTAAGTGTAGACATTTCACTGGACTTACCATCCGCCTGGTAACATATTTCCGTGTAACCGCCGTTTCTTTCTCTCTTGCAGGAATTTTGGTGGGCCGTATTGCTGATGGGCATAGCTTTCATCATATTTATGGGCTTATTTATCAAGTGTTGCGCCGTGCATATTCCTTCGACTAATCCTAAAAAACCGCCTGCGAGGCGCATCAGTGATACATTAACAAGACCGATGAATACTCTCAGAAGGATGGTAAGAGAAATACGTAGATTACATTTCCGCATTTTCCGGCGAAATTTCGAAACTAATGGCAACAATCTCCTTCGCGCGTCTTATCGTTTGTCGTATCAATTGCAGCGACATCCGCACGGCGGAGGAGGAGCTGGGCCAAGGAGTATACCTCCGAGACCGAGTCAAGGTGGACACGGAACACGTGGACCTTCTCATGGTTACGGAGAAGGTAGAGGTGCTCAATATTACCCAAAAGGTGAGTTAACGTATCGGGACGTCGATGCATTTCCCGTTGCTTGAGTTTAATTCCCGCACTCGTGCGGTGATCGAGAATACATACATACATCGATGCTGGTGTATATAAAGGAGAGATCTCGAGTCAATCTTAAAATACTAACACGAATTAAGCTCAAGTTCAACGCTGTTCGCGTTCTTCGTCCTTGTGTAACCCGCAATTACATCAATGTCTTTTCCTGTTTGCATCTCCCTCGCATTGACGCGCATCACTACCTGATACTATCGTTCTATGACCTGCAGAGGTGAGCTGGGGCCTATATTCTATATGCTTGATAGGAGCAAATTCACGAATGCGGAGATAGCGCGTTGCACGCGCAAAGTCTCGAGTCGACGATCTGTCGCGAAAATCAATCAAGTACCCGCGGCTTTCCTGCGTTTGCTCCTAGCTCATTATTCATGGCATTGCACTGGTTGCTCTCTAGCTGGGATACTTATTTCCTCCCTCTTTAACACGGGAGTCTCCACGCGAGCGAACTCCTCTCTTCTCTGATTTCGCACCAATCGATCGCATTGACATCCGAATTATGATTTTCCGGAATTGCGTTGTAGTTAGACGGCGAAACACGACGAGAAACAGCACGGGCGAGGGACACGCGTGTACAGCGTGTAGATCGCACTGGCTGTTTCCCCGCTGCCGTACTCTCTTTGCCAGTTGCCTGATTCATATCGCCAACGACTCTGTCCTCGCATATCCGATGTTTCTTTTGGTTATGTGTTTCGTTTGATTGTCGAACATTTTTCTAAACTTTAAGCAGGCTATCACTCGGTTCCCACAGCTAGTGCGCCACCAAATAGCAGGTCAGCAGACAACTACGGCCGTTCCAACCACCCAGAGCTGTACGCCGGCGCCTATTCGGGCTCCGGGGGAGGGGGGAGGAGCGCAGCCTATGAGATGAGGCATCACAACAAGGTGTGACGATCCTAGGACGTCGTCACGGACGAGGACCACCAGTCGCGGCGTTGCACCACGAGTCGTTGTGTAAAACGATTGCCAAATGCGAAGGGAACCGATCCACTCCACGCGACGATGTCTTGTAACCGAGGTCGAAGCAATAATGACGAGATACGGCACGATGGTCGAGCAGATTGAGAGGTCCGGCGATACTTTGCGCTTTCAACTGAGTTGCGTTCGATCGAACATCAAGACGACGAAGAGAGCCGCGCGCGTTACTTGTAGATACGACGAAAGTACGCATCAGTGATCAAATCGATCTCTCATTTTGTATCGGTTCGGCAAATGTGATTTCAACTTAGATCCAGATACGTTACGAACGACGATCCGGAGGATCACGAGTTAGCCGGAGTCGCGATGTATAATAGAATAACGATATATCGGACAAATCGTGTATCCCGGAGATTTTATATATATGTATATGTACATATATATATATATATATATATATATATATATATATATATATATATATATATATATATACATATATATGTAACCTTTTTTATGTAGTACCAATATGATGGTCTTTTGCGTCGTCGTTCTGAGAACTCGTCGGACGATCAAATTTTAAGAACGCTACGGGCAACTTTCGCCCTTCGCCAACGAGGGTGATATTGTTATATGATCAAAGTAATTTAAATCGATCCAATGTGTGATTCGTTTCGCTTTAGCGATCGACGCTGTATTCTCACAGCGACAAACGCGCGCCGGTGTTGTTGAAACCGCGTCGCATCTTCGCCCTTCGACACTACGAACATTTAAAGGCCATGATCGTAACGGTCTTTGTGTGTGACGGCGTCCTTCGTGATGTCTATTATCCGTGCATGTCGCTCCCGAAAGTTCGAGTTTACAAGGGGTGTGTGGCTTTGTTCGTTAGATATTAAATGCGAATTCAGTAGGAGATCGGCAATAAGACAATACGTCCGTTCGTAATGCATATTATATAGGGCATATGTTTACAAATGAGTTTTCCAAAGACGTCGTTTTAATAGTAGTCTGTTCAATTTCCGATTAACTTAACGCGTGATGCGCGAAAAATCGTTTTCTACTGGAATGAAATTTTACCGTCTAATGGCACGCGTATGCGCCAATTTAATTCAGAGACTCTCGATGCACCAAACGACTCATTCGTGCGACATGAGAAAGAAACATGAAGGAGCTCGAGACTGTTGCATAGAATATCTCGTACGTACAACATTGTTTATACATATACATATATATATATATATAAATATTCGCAGTTTCGACGACTGATTTATATAAACGACTTTCTGGAGCGAAATGGCACTCTACCATTACCAAACCATCACAGGTCATTCGCTTGATCTCTGTACCATTGTAGTATAATAATTAACGATATGTATTATTCTTATACTAATTTGTATTAGCCAATTGAAGTGAGTGAAGTTATGCGAGACTACGAAGGATATGAAAGCAGCAGCAACAAAAATGTAATGCGTTTCTCTGTAGCGATATTCCATTAACTATTACATATGAACACGGAGATGATATTGATCATTATTAAGAATATGCTTATTAATACTATTATTATTATTACATTAATATTATTAATTAGTTATATCATGCAGATGATAATTTATCTTTGCGAATGTTATATTTAATTAAATACGAGTTTTAACATGCTATTAAGTCGGGGGCTGCACCGTAAACGCGCGACTATGCGTATAGCGGACCAAAGACGAGCCCTCTTATCGAGAGAGAGAGAAAGAGAGAGAGAGAGAGTGAGAAAGAAAGAGAGACGCGCGACATGTTATATTATATATATACATGGGCTCACACGTACACAGCTGCATACTCGTAAGCGATAAACACGAGATCGGTTTTCATCCTCGCGATGAATCGTATCTGGTGCTGTTAAACCATTGTCGATACGATCAATAATGCACTTCCCTTCTCCGAAACGCCAAATCTTATGCAAATGTAGAAGAAAAAAAAAGAAGAAACGCGCCAACGTCGAGATCTGTGTTCGATCTTGTTCGAATTGTATTATCAATTGACAGTGGGTAAAATAATGTAAAAAAATGTGAAAGAAGCACATTCAAGTTAGCAGTAACATCGAATCGAGATTCGTCTCAAAGAATAATATCGCACGAACGTGTGCTCGTTGAAATTAGATTTATTTTCTTGATCGATTACAACTCGTTCTTATGACTGTTAGTGAACACTTGTCACTTTTACTCATACTGTTCTATAACGATATTAAACGAATGCAATTTTCTGAAGTGAAGGATTAAGAAATTAGCCTCATGACTTTTCATCAGCTTCACATTTACAATCGTTGCATACAATCATTCATATAGCGGAACACATATTTTAAAGTACAGCGCAGATAAGATAATAACGATCACTAGATGTCGTTTTTATTACTTTGTAAACACGACGAGATCATACATTCGCGCGTGCACGCGCGCGCGACAAGTTTGCATTGGACTCTATTTTGTCAGTTACATAAGAAATCCATCCAGAACGTAGAGACAGAAATTCTATCGTGTTCACAGCTATTGATTAATTGGTGTGATTCGTATATTACTGTGTGTCTATCCGCAATTAAACTACAACTCTCTGCGTTGTAACTTTAAGAGTGTTTTGTCTAGGCGAAAACGTGGATACAGGGATGCAGGATTCAAACGAGGAGGTGCCAGCAAAGACGCTAATAATACGAGTCTGCGGATCGTGTGGAAATGTACAATAGACGCAATGTGATTATTAGGTGGATCATACGAGATCTTGTGAGAACGAGAATTAGAGAGAGAGAGAGAGAGAGAGAGAGAGAAAGCGAAAGTACGAGAGAAAATGAGACGGAAAGTAAAAGTTCTTCGGGCGTGAGAGGGAATTAGCGTGAGTGCGAGAACGCGAGAAAGGAGACTGCGAGCGTGTATATCTGTGTAAATATACTAATATTATGAAATGATTATATAACCATAACAAATGGTAAAAGCGAATACAAAAAATACTTGTTTTTATATCAGATCTGTATTATAGCGAAATATTATTCTGTATTTTGTAATCAGGAACGCGGAAGTTAAGGTTGACGAACGAGTGTCTGTACGTGCGTGTAATCGAGCCTTTAGGTTTTAAAGATAAGTTTCTGTAACGATCCATCGTGGACCGGCGGAATCGTACGATCAACGTTATCTAGGAAGTTTCGACATTTCTCGCGTGTAGGTGCAAAGGAATTCCGTTTGACCCCACTCGCAGTCGCCCGTGACACCATTGTGTACGATTTCGTTTGTTTCGACGCGAGCAACAGTCCGCGGCACGCAGAACCGCGGGCGCGACTTACTGCCAATGAACGTGACGAGGCAAAATTCGATTAATTTTACTGTGTTATAGCGTGTATCGTTAGAAACTTTTTCCCGTTGAACGGACGTTATAGTCGCGGTCCCTCCCAAACGTTCGGCCGAGCCGTTGACATGTACGCGAATTTCTTAGATAACCGTCATAGATTATACGAAAAAGAGGACTTTTTATACATCCGTTTTGAAATTTCCTTTTACGCCAGAAAGTAAAGAAGTTTTTTCCGTATACGCTGAAGAAAGAGCGCGACTGTACAAACGACGTCGTTCGGACAGTCATCGGGAATTTCCGGGCGATCGCTTCGTTCCGAGCCACTGCCATTCGATGAGCAATCTCGAGGTAGTTAGTATTCGCCTGTGGAACGAACCGACGACCGAGCGACGCGATGCGCGCCAACTACTTTTGCTTCCATCTCACTGCCACTACCACTTCGGACGACTGAATGATCAAAGGTCAAAGGTAGAATATCGAGAGAAGACAAAATAGATAGCGGTGCCTCGTTGCGTCTCGAAAAAAGCCTAAAGAACGGGCGTGGAGTGGGGTCAGGGCGTAGTTACTAGTTGACGATGAAGAAGTCGCTTGCGCGTACGGAAGGAGTATAAAGATAAGAATAAATTTTCCTTCATCATTTGTCCCAGGTGACCTCTAACTACATATGCTTAAGCTTCTTCGTTTCCGCGACGTCTGGATTAAGATGCGATTTTAATCACCCGCTCCCTCTTCCCCGCCCTCTCGTGATAATAAACCTCCGCCGCGGATCGTCGCGGTAGCGTGTCGTCGAGTCACCGGTTATACATATATACATATATCACGTCGATACGATAACCGAAATCGCCGCAAGGCCGTCGCGGCGTGTACCTATCTTAATCCAGAGCCGCATCACTGTGACGCGATGCACATACTACTCTATCACTTGTACATAATGTTAGAGAGGAAAGAACAAAAAACAAATCGAAGATTATATTTTTTCTATCGATCCAAAAACGTGGTGACCTATCAACATCGTGCATCCGGGATTATTTAAGCGTAACTTCGTGCCCTTTGTACCGATCACACTTGGCGGACGAATTGTTTCCCCGACGAGAATCGTACGTTTCTTTTTTCCTCCTCCTTTAATTCGGAGCGCCACTTGGATATCACCGAGTGGCCCTTACGTTCGTGCCGTACCTCTACTTTTAGTCGGTGCAAATTCGAGCGATGCGTTTTCGAGGTATATCTCTCTTTATTGTAAGTTACAACTGAGCATGATACTGACCAATCGCCTGAACGTAGCTTCAGACCACCACTCTCTCTTTTCCCAAAATGTCTAGAAGAAAAAAAAATTGCGGCGAGTGTTTTAAGGATATTATAAATAAAAGGATTATGATTGTGAATATCTCTTGTGTTACGTTAATGTGATTAAAAGAGACAAAAACATTGTAAAGAATTAAATAAAGCATACATTTTACATTTACCGGCGTGTGATTTCTGGGACCCATCGGGCGGACCCATCGGGAGAGAAGAAGTTGCGCGTGAATCGTTTTACACATAGTTTTATTTATTATATAAACTATTGTAAAAGTTACAATTGTACATTAAAAAGTCATAGTGGGTGAGTGACGATACCTACTGTGTGTGATACATGAATATCGCGATCTTTAGCTTGGAATCGTGGGAGCTTACATCGTGCGTCCCCGCGTGCAATACAAAAATTCATTCACGTTAAATTATATAATTAATACTCGACTGGAATTTAAGATATGCACTTATGTACTAACAAATACTTCAAGCCGGATGTCGAATGTAAACTAGAGGTATACTGTACATATTACAAAATGCATCGTCGCGGCTGTTATTACGAAAGTCCGCGAGTCTCGGCGAACTGTCCGTTCATTGATTCACCTTAATAAAGATCTCTTCTTGATAAAAAGGTAGTATTTAATTACACTAGCGCCCGAGGGAGAAAGAAAACGCAAATCACACGACGTGACGCGAGCAACGTAGGAGAGAGAGAACGCTAGAAATGCATTTCGATAAGCTTTGCGTTAAAACACCGAGCGGTTGATCTCAACTGTCAATTCTACGAACGATCGTGCGCGTTTACCACTCTTCTACCAGCCTGCGCTGATACACCCTTGTACTTTATCATCGGTACGTGGCCGGAATTCCGCTCCGTCCGTTATCACTTTACGGCCGCGCGGGGCGTTTAACAGCAAATTCCTCGCGATTGCCTCCGATGTAAGTGGACGTAAAAAAGTGGCCCTGAGTGGCAAGTTAGATTAATGCAGCACCACGTCTCCCTCGCGACTGCCCCGCCGTTAGGCTCACGGTTGCGAGTGCTCCAGCTTGTACACGTCGTGATATGCGTTGCGGATCAGTGCGTAGGGAAAACAGCTCTCCAGCAGGTCCATCGTCAGAAACGGAGACTCTTGGACTATCTGATCCAGCAACAGATAGACGGACTCTCGGTTTCGAGTCGCCTCTTTGTCCGCTTCTTGGCCTAATCTCAGTAAGCTCGACGAGGCCAAGGCTAAGAATTCCTTCATCCTGTCTTCTATGTCGTTCTGCCCGCAAATCGTGAACAACGCTCCGAATATATTGTTTATGGCGGTAGCCATGCAGTGTATGTTGTTGGAGTGGCCCTCGAGCGACGCACGGTAGAAGGAGTTCTCGTTCCGAGCCAATTTAGGGATGGAGACCGCTACGAAGACCATCAATAAACATACGAGCAAGTGTTCGTCCTCTTCGGCTTCGCCTTTCTGGTTGCGCAACGCGGTCGTCAGTGTAGGGTCGACCTTGCAGGTCAAGCCTGCGGCTGAAGTCATTTCGGAGACGACGCGCATAGGGTCACCGGATGGCAGGTGATGTCTGAAGTCCAATATGGAGCTCAGCAAGAACGGTATGCGCTCCTCCAACACGTCGACCAGTGCGGACTGCGACAATTGCCGGAAGCTAAGAATCACGCCTATTATGGTGACTCGCTGAAGAACATTGTCCACATGTTGCAGCCTCTTAAACTGCTCCTTCATCACCTCCGGTTTGTCGAAGTTCGTCCGCAAGGCGACCAGCACGTCCCTATTGCCCGTCACCAGCTTCTTCAGCTGCTGCACCTGACTGGCGATGTGCCACATCAGATTCTCGTTCAGCATCTTCATACCATACGGCCCTATCAGTTCCGCCAATGCCCTCAGCTCGTTGATGTCGGAGAACTCCTCGGCGTTGAAGGGTATGGCGCCTTCCACCGACAGGCTGACGAACGCCCTTTGATTGGCGGAGTAGCAGATGTTGCCGGCGCTGACTCGCCTCAGCAGGACGTCCGAGTACCACTGAGTGTAGAGCGCGGCTATGGTCTTGTCGCCGTGGCTGTCCAGCTCTTGGGTCTGCTGCAGCAGGGCATTGTTGAAGACGCGCGTGATGTCTATGTGCACGTAATTCTCGATGGTCTGAAGGACGTTCATGTAGGACCTGACGCTGACGAAGAGCTCCGACGGCTTGGCTATCTCGCTGGTGTCCGGATTGTACATGACCATTCCCACGAGCGCTCGGGCGAATCGCGACTCCAGATGTTGATGGAGATACTCCCTCGGCGCGAAAGTATACTCCCAGACGTTGATGGTAGGACAGTAATTGATGGCGTAACACAGCTCGGTGAGGGCCATGTGCAGTTTGTCCATCGTCGTCAACTCCTCCCGGGTCTTCCTGAAGCTCTCTATACCGGGCTTGTGAATCTCGTACATGTTCTTCTTGTTCTTGTCCTTCTTCTTGCGATTGACAACCTGCGATATTAATAGAGCGCAGTGTTTCGGTAACAGCTTGTCGCTCATGTTACACTGTTCGTCGCAAATGGTCGTGATGATATTCTTAGCCTCCTTGGCCATCTCGTCCAAGAACATGTTGACGACAGAGAGGCTCCTCTCGCGAATATGATGACGCTCCTCCGGACAGAGCTCGTGGGTGCAGCTCTGGAAGTGGCTGCATATGAGCGGGAATGCGACGATGTACCGGTTCTGAGCGGGAAACTCGAGACACATATGGAACTGGTCCTCGAATATCTTGCTGTAGAAACAGAAAATGGATAAGTCTGATGTCTCGACTAGCATCTCATCCAGATTGTCGACCATCTTTGTGTGGAAAATCACCGTATCCATGAAGGAAGCTAGTTCTCTATTGTCAGCCAGATTCATATTGCCTTTCGCGATAGACATATAAGCCTGCAGCCTGAACCAGTCCAGTCGGAAGGCACGGAAATCAAACAATTCATTCTCCTCGACTTGCTTCACAGTCAGACTAGCTATAGTTGAACACATATCACTAAGAATAGCGCCCTCATCCTCGGGACAAACAGGGAGATTCTGTATCATCTGATGTAGAGCAGGGGCGTCGAATCCCGCGAGGAACTGGACGTAATATCTCTGAAGCACCTGAGAATACTTTTTTACTAAAGCTCTTAATTCTTCGCAGTGGAAGAGTAACTCCGGCAACTGACGGTCCACCAAATCCTCGCCGCCCCGTCCTTTGCCCTTACCTTGAATGGGTGGGTTATCCCCGTGTCTTAGTAGCCATAATACCTCGTCTCTCGCGTGGGAGAGACCCATTAAGACCAGCAGTGCTTTCGGTCCCAGGAGGCCAGGCTGATCGGTTAAAATTAAACCTAATTCCTTCAGGGCAGTCCTCAGGAATTTCCTTCGTTCTCTGTGCCTATAGCCAGCTTTTTGTACTGCTTGATTGTAACATTCCTTCACTTCCGACACTCTTTTACTGTACCCTTTCATACTCTCAAAGAATGTCTGAATGTATTGATGTATGTAGATTACCTCATCTCTAAACAACGCCAATACCCAGCCAGATTCTAAAGCAGTGATCCACAGTTTGTTTGGTTGTTCTTGGCTTAAGAACGTGTGACAAAGTGTGAATCCAAGAATTACCCATCTCTCGATTCTGTCCAAACTCAGCGTTTCGCAGGACATGGTCTCCGTTGCTGCTGCCTTGAGTATCTGGCCGGGACTACCAACGAGGCTCAATTTTTGATCGGCTCTCCATGTGTCAGCAGTCAAGTTTCTACCAGGATATATCGGCCACAAGGAAATTAGAGCGTTTTTCAGCAACTTGGAGTGCGGCACGAATTCTTCCGAGAGTTTCTTCAACGGGGCATCGTAGTCCATAATCATTTGGCCTAGACGAGGAAAACTGGGATCCGACTGACTGTGCACCATCTCGTGGGCCGCATTGAAGAGCCCCAGCACCGCTTTACGATCTTCCACTCGTGACAGGAGGACCATCAAACTGACATACGTGACTACAAGATCCAGATACCCTTTGGTCAAGTCGAAGTTAATTGTAATGTCCATGTGAACGCCACAAGCATCCATGGTGGTCAGCAGCTCGCAGACGTTGTCCTTAAAATCCAACAGATCAACAAATGTATAGTAGTACAACGACAGAGACTTGATGATCTCGTTACGAATGTTCGTGATGGTCTGCAGTCCCTTGATATCGATATTAGGAAACTTCCTGACAATCGTCTTGATGGAAGACTCCAGTGCCTTGTCGGAGAGGAAGGCAGGCTTCGATTTGGCATCGCCACAGGCTTTTTTTATATTATAAATACGTGTGAGCATACCAATGCCTCTGTCATTCAGAATGGTCAGCTTCTCAGCCAGCTTCTGCTGGCTTGGCACGATAGGTCGGGCCATGATGACGTCCCTTGAATCGACACTCACGCAATTAGCACATTACTCGTTCGTTTTCTTCAAATTACAGTGATAATTACTCTTGACCCCACCCCTGAGGGTAATCTACCTCACCGGATGCGACGAATGTTGCCTCTAATTTCCTGCAAGAAGAGACGATACCTGTCACAAACGTTGTCACGACACTTTTCGTTCTTCACCTCATGATTCGTGTACTCACCTGTCGTCGGGGTTACATATTGAATGCAAATCAACGGCATAATAATACGACAGACCGAGTTGGCTGTATGCTGTGCTCTACCATGGTGCATACCACGCGAAGGGCGCCGCTATCTGAGACACGGTGCTGCCATCGCGGTGAACTAGATGTGAGTAATCAGCGTAGGTGAGACGAGCGCGCGTATAAAATCTGTAAGAGCTGTAAAGTAAGAAGAATTTTCAAGTTATCGCTGTCTCGAAGTTACACGGACGAAAGACTTCACTCTCGTGAGGGAGTTAAACATTCGTTTTGTTAAACTGGAGTGCCCGACTAACGTACTTAACTACTGTTCGTCGCTCGATTTCATACATTCGACGCTTGTGTGTCGAATTTCTATTCGACATTTACAAAAACACTATCAGTGTAACATTAGAGGTTATATATGCATTAACATTTATTTACATTTAGGATTTCGTATCATTTTTAACCATATATACATATATATATATATATAGATTAGGATTAAAAATCATACAAGTAATCTTAATCGTGAAGTACACGCTTCATCACGATGCACCGTACATCGTGAGATCTCGATATTGATACTTCGAGAATTGCAATCGCGATATGTTCAGATCGGAGAAGTCAGTTGAGGAACGGATCATGGCGCGTCGGGTCGTAATCCGAGAGCCGTTCCATATAATCCGCGATTTCGGCTTGCCGAAGGTGAGCCTCGGGCATGATTTTCCGTCGGTAGTGTCGACAATAAGCGTCACGCGTTTGGCACGACAAATTATCGCACCGCCGAGCGTGAATATTCTGAAACGGCCGTCATGAGTATCGAATGGAATGCAAGTGACGATCACGCGATCGACGTTCGTAGCAGCTCGGGGTAGGACTCGCTGCCCTTTACGCTCTCGTCTACCGAAAGAGTCCTACACGCGTATCACGCTCGTTAGGAATGTCGAAAATGAGTTTCGTGCCGCATATCATGACAAAGGATCGTTGATTAAATGAGAATTGGGAGGGCCGAGAGAAAGAGAGAGATAGCAGTTATGGCGGTTAAGATTCAAAATTATTGAGTTACTCCCTCGACTGGCCGAAGGAACCGTTGGGTAAGTATCACCGCCACCTATCAGGAGAATATCGTACTTGACTTTCTATACAGTGGTAACTTACCAGCAGTTCTTCTGTAGCAGTCTCAAAGCGAAAGAAAGGCAGGGCCGAGGGAAGGAGAGAGATAGCAGTTATGGCGGTTAACATTCGAAATGATTGCTTTACTGCCTCGACTGGCCGAAGGAACCGTCGGTAAGTATTACCGTCACCTATCATAAGGATATCCCACTTGACTTTCTGTTCAGTGGTAACTTACCAGCAGTTCTGTAGTAGTCTCGAAGCGAAATTATGTTCTGTACAACTTTAAACAGGGTTTTGTACATTTATACGCTGTTGGGTGAATTTTTCATGACGATTTTAAGCATTATATATTATTTAAGAAAGTAGCAGCCAGTTATTTTAAAAATTCACGTATAAAATAAAGCGAGATAAATGAAAGCGATTCTTGAGAGGCCGATAATTGAAAACATGGTTTATTAACGTTGTTTATTTTACGATAAATACATATGTATTTATTCTTATATATAAATACATATGATTTATTCTTATAATTATTAATATAATTATATATAATTATATAATTAATTTTATATATAATCTTCTCATACAATCTTCTCTTCCCTTGGTATTAACATGTAATTTAATTTTATCGGTTGTAATGTAATATTTTCAAGATCTTACCGTGATAACGAAGTTTATAGAAGGAATAAGTGAAAGACGCGAGTGTGATTTATTAAAAGTCTGATAATATCATTCGCAAGTTTGCTATACAAATAAAATTAGAGAATAGTGAGAAAAAGTATCGGCGGGGGAAATGACTTTAATGCTCGTAACGATATAAAGTTATAAGCACGACAGCAAAATGTGAGCCACATGCTGCAACGCGGCTTTCAAAGTCGAAAGCTAAAGACCACCTCTTTGCTATGTTCGCGAAATGACTGATGGCCCCAACTCGTGTACATAACTTAATATTTGCCCGCAATATATCATTCGTTCGTGCCACAGAATACTTTGCGGATGGTATCGGCGAGCGTAACTCGGGACTGATATCCGTCATACGTCAGGGAAACAGCGCGTAGCCGCGGTGTCAGGCAAAAAGCCCCGGTATATCCAGATATATGATAATGGATATAATCCTTCGATATCTTATCTTTTATGAGTGTTATTCGTTTATGAGCGCTTTTGGATGCCGTTCAATTCTCATCTCGCTCTTCCTCCCGTGCTGCCGAGCCCTCTTCTCGACGGCGCGGGCCCTCGTTGGCTCGGTTTTACTACTTTCCCATTTTTCATTAGCACAATCAAACCGGCCGTACGCGGAGAAACAATGGCTTCTTGCCGGTCTTCGGCGTGGGCGTTCCTCCGCGGGGAAAAAAGCGTATAGATTATCGACCGATAGAGGGGCTTGGCCGCTGTGTTTGCCCTCTCGTTCGCTTTTCTCGAACGAATCGAAAGAGAGAAAGAGAGCCGGCGGGGAGGAGGGAGAGGGAGAGACGGGAAGAGAGAAAGAGAGAGAAAGAAGGCTAAGCGGTCTCTCCCAGATCGTAGCGAGCGCGAATCGCTTCTGTTGACTGCGAGTCCGTAATTGTTTCCTGCTCGGAGGAGGCCAGGTGGAATGACTAACGACCAATTTCCTTCGGCAGGCGAGTCATTCCCCGGTATGATCGATCCGATTATCGCTCGGCGTGCTCGTCCTCGCAATTTCGAGCAGCGTACATCACGGTTCCCATGGGTCTTCGCAAATCGCCCGCTCGCAGATCGCCGACGAATCCGCACATCCTTGGAAAAATGTTCGCGGATATTACACAGGGATTTCACGCAGCTTCGAACAGTAAGTCGGAATTATCTTGTTAAAGCGCAGTGATCTGGTGGTAGTGATTGTTTGCTTCGACTTGTCGAGTATATCATGCCGAACGGTGTTTCGGTTATTGTAAATTAGGCTGTTGTAAGACTGTTCGTGACAAAAATGAAGTAAAAACTATATTTACTTGTGATTCTAGCGCGTAGATTGGCACTTGTGCATTTTTTATTTACGTCAGCGCTACCATCCGGTCACTTAAGTCATCTTTTTTCCACTATTTCTCGACAAGTTGTTAAAATATTCATTATTGTCCAAAATGTGTCATTTTAGTCACATTTTTTCTGAGCTCTGCCATTAAATTTGTAAAATATGGACGTTCTATATATATTTTTGCCCTCTCTCTTTATGAGACTGTTCTAAAAGCGTACTTGCATTGTATCGTTCATGACTTTTTTCTTGTCATGAACTCTCAAATATTCATACTATGAAGAGAACTCGTTATACATATTGAGCTATTCAAAGATAAGCTTGAGAAGGTAAGAGTCATCGTTGCTTTTTTTTATATAAAACGAATGCAGTACTTTTTTTTACGTAAAATAGGAAACGCGTCTGATATGAGTTCGATTTATGCATCTCAGCAGAATCAAGCTCGACGACATTAGGGCGGATAACTTTGTAGCATGGTAAAAAACGGACGTAAAGTCGCACAGAGAGTACGGGGGGGGGGGGGNCTACGGGCATCTCATGAATATGAAAACAGAGCCGTATAATGTTGTCGTATCCCAAAATTCATCCGTCTATATAGAGCTTAACACGTAACTACGAAGATGTCCAACGGCGGCGTTTCCTAACGACGTATCGGGGGCAAGGGAGGAAAGCAATCGGGGCGGCTTTAATTATCTCGCGGCCTCCTAACGTGCAATTAATTCCGAATGCGGTTTAGTTTAGCGAACGAAGAGCAAACAATGTATTACCCTCTAGGCTGTCTAAACGTAGGTGGTTACCGCGGAATCGAGGCTGGAGGGGACGGCGGCAATGGGGGTAGGTTAGGCCACTTTACGCAAATAGCATGGATCCTGCAGATAGCGCATACTTCCCGTAACGTTACCGCCGTGTACCCCCCGGTTTACCCATCTTCCCTTCGCGTTCTCCACCCTATCGTACCCTATTGCTCCCGAACGCGAGGTTAATGCTCTGTGAATTTGTGATTGCCTCTGAAGCAAACCGACAGGTTTTAGCGGGAGCCTACTCGGCGACCCTGAAGGACTCCGCTCGTTTTTCGATTTTCCCATAATGCGCGGCTCGCGACGTCCTGCGCGCGTGCAAATATCGTTATTCATCTCGACGGCTCTCTCCGACGAGACGTAACTGGAACCGGGATTAGGATGATAAGAAAAGCGCATCTCGCAGTTGTTCCTCTCGTGAATAAATGATCGGGAAGACACTCTATCGCGGTCGAGCGAGATCGAGATTCGTCGTAATAGCCGTTTAACGATAGCGTAAAGTGTACAGTAAGACGTAAGCATGAGCTAAATTGACCAATTTGATTCTCACAGTCCAAGAATAATCGGCCGTGGTTGGTCGATTAGCTTACTGCTTACGTCGTACTGCATATTTGACGTTATTGTAGAATGGCCTTAAGGTCGACGCGCATGCGTTTCCGCAGAATATCGAGTTCTCATGACGACTTTGCGCGCTTTTCCCGCGATCATCGAAGCTCGTTCGTGCGATAGCGAGATCGGATCTCCCCGCGAGACTCCGTATGTAGGGTGAAAATTCGATTCGTCGCTCGTGAGAACGGATTTTTTCCCGAAACGGGGCCGAGCACTTGAAGCTAGCTGCGGTGGAAGGGAACCAGATGTAATTAACTCCTGCCAGTGTATTACAAATCAATAGCGTACGTGTATATTGGACGAGGGCTATTATGTATCAACCCCGCGAGCGATATATTATGCGTTGGCAATTATGATTGAAAGCGTTGCGCGTATCATAGTTTATATGTATTGTGAAACGTATATTGGAAAAATCAAAATATCTTTCTCTATAATATTATCTCTACTATTCCGACGTACATATGTGTATTAATAATCCAGGATAATAATAAGCTCGGCGTATACAGAATTTCTGTGCCGAGTAGCAAACGTATACGTCGCGGAGGAAGCATGACGAAATCTCGATAACTACCGGGGACGTCTATTA